AGCTGTTGAGTGAGGTGAAGGCAACAGTGCGGAAGGTCATCGGCCCGTTGGCCACGCCGGACTTTGTGTGCCCCGCGCAGTGTGGCTTGCCCAAGACGCGGTCTGGAAAAATCGTGCGTCGAATGCTGCGAAAGATTGCTACTGGCAATCCTAACGACCTCGGGGATACCACAACCCTGGTCAATGAATGGGTAGTGTCGCCTCTGATAGAAGCGCGCACGAAATGGATTCAAAATTAGGAAAGTAAATTTTCTTGTCTATCTGTTTTTTTCGTATTATGACTTCGCAGCTAGCAAAATTACTCTATACGATATGTGTTCGAAGAACTTGTCGTTGTAATACTTTAAAATTTCATTTTTGTGGTAAGACTTCTACCCCCTATTTTCTTACCATAAAAGATGGATAAAAAGAACTAATACCAGTATCACTTGGTGATCAGGATAAGTCAAATAGACTCAAATATATATTTACCTAATCCTATGCTATTTTACCATGATTTATACTTTGATCTTCCTTTATGTTCTAAGATTCAAATTTCACATTCAATGTCATAGTGAAACTCAAAATAGAAGGAGAAATGTTATTGCTGCATTACTAATTATTCTCCTCACACAACTTAGTGTTGGAGAACGAATCTTTGACTATGTTAAGAATATAGCCCTGAATATGGTTGTTATAAATATTTCGTGTTTTATTTTTATTACTAACCTTGTTTTTTAGTTTTGTTGTTAGCATGAGATTGGTCTAAAGGAATGTGTCCATTCAACTATGGAGACTGCATTGAATATTCATACACATTCAATGTTTATCTCATTATTATTGAGCTATATATACTTCTAAGTACAACGCTTCTTCATTTCATTAGTACATGAAAAGGTCGAATGATGAAGATTTAAAAGGGGAATAAAGGACAAATGAAACATAAGAGTGAAATTGGAATGCATATATTGGTGCTGAATCACGAAATCATCATGTAGAAATATTCTACATGTATGTATATATATATATATATATACATGATACTGGAACTAAGCTTATTGTCAGACAATAATCAATTAAGGAGAATTTCGGAACTCCAACCAGACCAAAATAAATAGCTGCTTACTACAGGGGTAACGTCGTGTGTTGATAAAGTGTATGTGAAAAAAAGGGATGACCCCTCATACATAGTGATGACGAGGCTCTTCATTCTATCTCTTATCAACTCTTGCTTATGAAAATTTTCCTAGAGTTGCTCTCAGCTTAAAAATAGTAGTGCATGTGTATTAAAGGGATCAAAAAGTAGCATAGACAAACAACCTCTCTCACTAAAGCGATATCTAAGCCTCTCCATTTGTGAAGCTCACTTCGCTCCCTCCCACTGCTCGAGGGGAAAAATAGCCATTGGTAAAATACAGCGAGAATTCGCGTGTGTTTTTCATTCTTGAAAGTAGATTTTCTGTCTTCGTATTTTTTTAATTCAAGATCAATGGGGATCGAAACTTGGAAGACATTTCCAAAGATTCTCACCGAGTATCCCCGTCATGGTGTTCCACTGCCATGCTCAGACCAAAACCCGCGGTTGAAGTGTTCGGAGACTCGGTGGGCCCGTGACTTTTGTCTCGCGCAGGGTGGCAACTGTGAGTACAAGATTGAGGCTCACTTCGACTGCCTTGCGCAATACTACCCAGCTGAGCGGGTGGAAGAACTAAGAAAGGCGTTTAAGCCAAACACACTAGACTACCCGACCTCAGACACGTATCTGCGCTACCGACATTTTTATATTGGTGCACCTTGGGCCTCCAAGAATAGTTTTGAGGGAACACGCTAAGGTAAGAGAAGCCATCAACAAGAAAGCCAAGAGACACCAAGTTATACAGGGTTGATGTTTTTTTCTTTTCCTAAACTCATCAATCAATCATAGTGTCGAGATAGGGTTTTATGGTGAAGGATGTCCTCGTAAATGGTAGATTTGTTTTCCTTTTATTGATCGTCACCGCTCCGTTTAGGAAAGACTAGAATTTTAGGTCACATAGGGTGCCTACGGCTTACATAGTATATGGGTAACAATAGGATGGGGTATGGTATAAGTAAAATAAATGCGACAAGAGTGTAGGCGTACCGTAGAATGATATCGATTTGTGCTCAACTTTTGTCGCATATATATGTAGGTGAATATTTATTGATATTTAGCGGAGTGTTTTTTTAGACTGATTGCATGAAGAAGGTCCGTATTGGAAATACCAAAGACAAACATTGTGAGAGCATCCCCCTGCCTCTGAATAAAAAAAAGGGAAAAAGAACATCTTGCTGTGTTTTATTTCCTGTTGTCTTCATCTACATATTTCACACATTATGTGTTGGTATTATTATTACTCCAACTATTATCCTCACTCCTTGATCATTGGGCTGTAAAAAAAAAATATGCCTACATATACGCATAGAAATAACTCATTATATAATTCAATATCTATTTAACCTTATCAACAAGTCAGTGAACAATTTAAAGGAAAGCGCGTTATTAATATCGTTTTACTTGTTCTTAAACATGCTCAGCCGAGCTACCATTTGTCTTTCCGCTGCAAGCCGCGTCTTTGTACTGGGTGGCTACATAACGCCATTCGTCGGCAAAGGCAACCCGGACTTTATTGATAAGAAGCACCCCGACTTTGGAAAGAAGAACAACAGGACGCTGGAGGAATTTATGGCGGAGACAGTTCGTGGGACGTTGGAGCAAACCCAGCTCGCCGGCCGGGAGGAGCTAATCGACCAGCTTGTGGTGGGGAACTTTGACGGAGAGTTGTTCTCGAATCAGGGCCATCTTGGCCCGGCGGCAGTGGGGAGCCTGACCTACGGCCGCCCCGAGGGTTCCGCCAACCCCCTTCTTTACAAGCCGGCGTTTCGAGTCGAGGGGGCCTGTGCCTCTGGCGGCCTCGCCTTGTACTCAGCCTTCAACGCCCTCAAGGCCGAGACCGCGAGTGTGGTGCTTGCCATGGGGGTGGAAGTGCAAACAACCGTATCACCCAGGCAAGGGGGCGATTTCCTCGCCCGTGCGGCGCACTACTCTCGGCAGCGTGGTATCGACGACTTCACATTCCCCTGTCTCTTCGCGAAGCGAATGAAAACCATCGCCGAGCGCAAACACTTCACCATGGATGATACCGCTAAGGTGGCCGTGAAGGCCTATTCGAATGGGAACAAGAATCCCTTAGCGCACATGCGCACGTGCCGTATGACCCTCGAACAGTGCAGTGATCACCCGAAGAACTTCAAATTCCTTGGGAATGAGACGTACAAGGAGTACTTGCGCGTGTCGGACTGCTCGCAGGTCAGCGACGGTGGTGCCGGTGCCGTGTTGGTAAACGAAGAGGGTCTCAAGAAGTTGGGCCTCACCCCACGCGATGCTCGGTTGGTTGAGCTAAAGTCCCTGTCTTGTGCAGCTGGAAATCTCTTCGAGGACCCAACCGACCCGACACGGCTGGACACTTCGTACATGGCCTCACAGCGTGCGCTCGCTCAAGCCGGGCTGAAGCCCAGCGACCTGCAGGTGGCTGAGGTGCATGACTGCTTTTCGATTGCGGAAATTCTTATGTATGAGGCTCTGGGATTGGCAGAATACGGCAAAGGGCGTGACCTCATTAACAACGGCGACACGTGTCTCGACGGCCGTATTCCTGTGAACACCGGCGGTGGCCTCTTGGCTTTTGGCCACCCTGTCGGCGCCACAGGTATGAAGCAGATCATGGAAGTCTATCGTCAAATGAAGGGGCTCTGTGGAGACTATCAAATGAAAAAGGTGCCTGCCTTGGGCGCGACCTTGAACATGGGAGGCGACGATAAGACGGCCGTCGCCACGATTCTGGAAAATATCTAACTGCGAAATGTTCAGTAAAATAAAATGTGAAGATGTTGTATGTAAGAAACTCCAGGGGAAAAAGAGAATATATGATTAACAATGGTGGAAATGGTTGCAGTTTTTTCTTTCGATATATATGGTTTAACTACTATTATCACAATTAAGCAAATAATATGTGTCAATTTTAGACCCAACGCCGCCTGATCGTTTTTTCTTTTTATGTGCGTAATGTTGTCTTTTTCTGTTTTTTATTGGTCTATTTTTCCCCTAAATCTTGAGGCCCCTAAAATGAGGAAAATATCGTCACACCAAACGATCTTATTTTAGCAAATTCTCCCTGATACATTGTTTATTCGTTTTAATTCGGCACATGTTAGTCGATGATGATATGTATACATGTGAAATCGTACAATGTTTACCTTTCTTTCAAATAGTTGGAAAAACAATTATGCGATGAAAGTTTGGGACGATCATTTGGATTTAGATTCGAAAAAAGACTGGGGCAGGCAAACGTACACTGTTGGAGTGACTCACAACCTTTTCCAGCATATTGTATGATATGCTACATGTTGTTCATATGACTTACTGTTCTGTTGTTTTCACCCATTTTGGTGCTGTATTGTGAAGGAGACATCGTCTCGCAAAGCCCATAAAACAGACACGAAAATAACAAAAACTGAAAGCTGAGTCGTGCATATATACCTCAAAGAAGTTACAACCTCAAATTTTCAAAACATTAGCGTAGTGAGATAGTATTGCCACTCTTCGCATTGTCTTGCCTGGTGTAGTGAGAAAACTGCACCTCCTCCGCATCGTCCAGTTGTCGAACAAACACTATTATATCGCTTTGCAACTTCATCTTTAGCGTGAGAATATATATATATATATATTGCATGCTATTTTGCATTGAGTCCATAGATTCGATTTTTAATACTATTTTAGCTCAGCACGTGTTTCTGACTGGCCCTTTATATTTTTATCAATCTTCTTGAATTTCGTGGTCACGAATGTACCGCTCAAACATCTTGCGAATCGCGAGGAGTTTTGCGAAGTCCGCTCCGGCATCTACTGCGGCTACCATTGGCTCCCCTGTGGCAAAGCCGGGCAGCTTCGTGTCGACCCCGGGGCCGGCACCAACGTCAACACCCGCGCCCACCATGGGGACGGGTCTACGAAAAAAGGTGATTAAAAAAATAATTAAGAAGGTGAAGGTTGTTAATAAGAATCAACAGGCCGTTCCAGAAGCGTTAGCGGCATCCAATCGCACAAATGTACAGACCGCCACGACGGCGTCAAGCCCTCCCCCTCTCCCTCCTCTGCCTCAGGACGCGCGCATAGCGGCTAACCCGGAGCCCGTTGAGACTCGCCGGTATACCGAAAAGTCTTCCCCAATTTCGCAAAGATCCGGGGCCCCGAAGCCAGATGAAGAGAACCATAACGCCGATTTTGAGCTGTCATCGCGCACGGGTGAACAACTGCGCCACGAGCTACGTGGCATCCCTTCACCCGATAGTGAAATTACGAATGATACGCACGCCGCAGAGCAACCGGGCAGTCAGAAAAAAACGCCCATGGTAAAAGGATACCGAATTGAGGAGGTGCTCACATTATGTGGACCATCCGATGCGATGTTCGCACGGCGACTACCATCTGGCGGCTGCCAGTTCTTTGCCTGGCCGGGCACCCCGCTGAGCGTCGCGAGCAACGCGATTGTCTCCATGCCGGATACCATTCGCACGGTGCACGCCGTGTTTGGCCGCGCCGGGACGCCTATTGACCTCGTGATGGATATCGACTGCCCCGTTCCGCAGGAGCACTGGAGCATGCACAAAATCGTCCCGTACCACAAGAAAATCCTCAACGACGTGCTGAGTGTGGTTACCGAGGAAATCGAAAAGATCGGCGAGACCATCGAAAGCCAGGTCGTGCTTCAGTCGCCGAACCTCAAGAAAGCATCTTTTCACGTCCACACCAAGCTCAAGGATGTCGCGTTTGCGGACTACAACTCCCTCTACGGCTTCCTATCCCGCTTCCACGCCCGCATCCCGATGGTGGACACGCAGATCTACCGCAAAAGCGGTATGCTTCGCATGTTTAGCTGCATGAAGGAGAACCACACCAGCGCGATGGTCGTCTTTGATGAGCCCAGGTGGAACATCGGGTTCCCGGGCGGCCGGGTGCCCGATCGGGCCGCCGCTTTGCACTCCGTCATCGTCCGCGAGGCGGGGACTTTCTCGCGCGTGTTAACCTTCGAGCCGCCGCGCTCGTCAGAGGAGATGCGGCATTCCGTGAAATCCGGCGATGAGGCCGAGGAAGGCGCTGAGGTGCGCCCACCCCGCGTGCTGCTCCCGCGAACCGAACAGGAGGCGGTTGAGACGGCCTCGCGATGGCTGCGGCAGGCGACGGAGCGGGAGGTCGGGGAGTGGCGCGCGTGGATCGGCCTCGGGCTCTGCGCCTTTCGCATCGCGTATCACTTCCGCGACGCCACGACGCTGCGGCGGCCTGCGATGGAGGAGATGCTCGACGCGTGGCGCGAGGCCAGCCAGCATTGCCCGATGAAGTTCCGCCACGGCGACTGCGAGCAGCGCTGGGCGTCCTTCGATATCAGCAAGCTCGGCGGCGATGAGGGGTGGTGGCGGGCTTACCAGCGCCTTGGCCGGCTCGAGGTGCCCACACAGGAGGCCCTTCGGATGCAGGAAATAGAACGAAATGCTGCTAGCGCCACGAAAAAGAACTCCATTCGGGGAGGCTCTCCTGGAAGGGAGAACAAGTCCCCCGGTGGCCCAAAGAGAGAGCCCTTTTAGTCGTAGTGTTGGAGCGGTATATGGGGGAATCTCTTACCGTCGTACAAGAAGCAAGACGTTGGGTTAACCAGATGGGACCCACGGTATTGCTTTCTTTTAGTTTGTTAGGGTTTACTCTCTCTCTCTGTATGTGTGTGTGTGTGTGTATATCGCTGCTATGAATGGTTTATTAATGATACAATACGAAAACGCACGGTAAATCAATAAGTTGTCCTGCGTTCTATTCCTTATTAATATCGTTTATGCCTTTATATTGCATTTTTGCTTTATGATTATTCTGTTCATTTTTTCTAGCTTCTTACGATATCACTTTTTATGTGAAATGAAGCTTAGGCTTCTTGCATTTATAATAATGCAAGAAGAAGGAATTAGCTTTTCTTCATTTTATAGATATATAGATGGTAAAAATCAACATTGAGAATTTCTCTCTTGTCTGATATACGCTTCGTTGTTGTTGTTTTTCGAATCGGATGCTTCTTGAAGCATTTGGACAGTGTGATAGTATCTGATAGCGGTAAATAGTGCAGCCATGAAAATTATTTCTCCAAAAGGTTACTAGTGTTATTTTGTAGTTAAACTCATAGAAATGAAATAGACGATTGATAAATTGTAAAATGGAGAATGTTTCAACTCCTTCAAACACTATCCACGATTTCGTGGAGGATGTGTGTTCGATTCAGCACACTTGTGGAACTATATCCCCATATCTAATTTGCAAATGTTCATTCGTTTAAAGAAAAACTGTGTTAAAGATGGTGTAACACGCCCTAACACTGTGTTCCTTTTCGACTTTCTATGTGTTCTTTTGCTTTAGGACTAATCTATCCAAAGTGTGAAAAGGGAAACTCATAGCAGTGTGGAAGGTCTGCTTCTCGAATTGCAATCTTGTGTATATGCTGACTTCAAGTGGGTAAATGTCAAACGGAGGTTTAGAAATTTGAACAAACGATATCAGCAACAAGGTTAATAGATACAGCAATAGTATTGTAATACTAGCTCGAATAGAAGGAAGTGATAGAGGAAGACTAATTAACCAAAAAAAAAAGAATAAATGCATCTTTATAGACCCGACTTTGTCTCGAGAGCCTCCACGCGTGGCAAAGCGGGATTGTGGGTTCCCACCAAACGCGCCACTGCCCCACATATGAACCCCTCTACCCTCGCAAACACGTCCACTCTTGAGAGTGCCTCCACTTTAACCGAATTCGGTCTCCCAAAGATGGATACTTCATTGGGAGCAGTAAAAGATCGAAGGCCACGCGTGTTAGTAATCGGCGCGACGCCTGCAGCGTTTCTGTCCTGGTCGGCGATTCACAAGGAAGGTGACTGCCGTGTCGTGGCCGTTGTTGGCATCCCAAGTGCTTCATTTGGGGCCCCCCCTCGCACCGATCTAAAAGCCGGTGAAGAGGGAGAAAAGGCTCTGTTGGAGAATACAACGGACTTTATTACGGCATGTATTAAAGCATTTGACCTGCCATCGGACACAACTACTATCAATGCAACTCGGCCAGTGCGTGGGAATGAGAATCATGAGTTGACCAAGACAGCCACTTACCCAAAAAGCTTGGACTCACCGACCACGGCGCCTGCTACCGTAATGCGCGCACAAGACGAAGGTGACACCTCAACACCTAAGGAGAAGCTCAGAGGAATCAAGGTTATCACAAACATTCAGCATATCTTCAAGGCACCAATAGAGACACCTCTCGAGTCTTCTCTGTCTGTGTCACCGCGCATTGGGGTGGAAACAGGAGGAATCTTAGACGATGTTGATATCGTGTATGTTGCGGTGGACAGCCTTGCTGTACTTCCACCGCTGTCCGATATCAGCGCAAAGGCGGGAGTTACGGTGGCACTAGGGTCGTTCCCGCAGCCCACCTCGGGTGATAGTCGCCTGCCGCTCATTCTGCACTGCATCGAGCGCGGCAAACATGTCATCCTTGATCATCCACTCGCCAGCAGCGAGGACTATGTGAAGGCGGCAAATGCGGCCCTCGGCGGTGACCACATGGCCGCAGACAAGGCAAGTCCACGTATACTGCTCCTAGACAGCACCACCACCCAACCCTTCCGTGGCGAGCACGGAGTGGAGTCCGTGGGCCTGCCCGCGTTGAACCCCCCCTCGCCGTCTTTTTCGCAGTCCTGCAAGACGCCTTCCTGTGCGAGCTTCGGGAGCTCCGCAGTGCTGCGAGCGGCATCCGTCGAAGGAAATGATATCGGTGAGGTGCGTCATGTCCGGCTCCATCTATGTCTTCCTCTTCGTAGCGAGCATGTGGCGAAAGGTGATGGGGCAAAGCCGCGGCAGAACCCTTTTCAAGGTGCCACCGACGACCCTGCAACGGCAGCGTCGATGCGCATCAAAATCATAACGCGTATCCTTGACTATGGCGGTCCCCTCGGCGTTCTCGGCTTGGCTCCTCCAAGCACCTACGAAGTCGCTATGAGGGCGCTTTTGACCAGGGCGATGGTGTTTTTACTCCGTGTCGCGCGGTGGCAAGCCCCGAGCGGGGTGATCGCGACCGCGGGGTCCGAACGCGGCGCCCCGCACGTTGTGGAAGGGGCTTTGTTTTTCTCTTGCGAGGAACCCCGTGGCGGGGTGCCAGGGACTCAAGAGGCGGGACTCCCAACGTCCGCCGGGGTGGACCCCCTGGCCCCGGGAGGGCTCGATGGCGCGAGTGGCGGCCACGTGACGATGCGGTTTTACCTCTCCGTCGAGCCCACGACGTCGTTTCTGCAGGTCTGTAAGGTCCACGGCACGCGAGGGGGGGTGGAGCGGCGGGATGTTCTGATGCCCACCGTCGCCTCGACCGGTACGGGCTCGCCCCCATCACCCGCGGCCGTGGGAGGAGGGGACGGTGGCGTAGGGGCTTTTTGGCGTACCCTACGCAGCCTCCTACAGGAGGCGCCCACACACCCCTTCAGCACGCCGCAACGACCGACCTTCTCAATCAGGGGCCGAGGGGGTTTTGGTATGACGAACTCGCGGTTCCGAAGAGATAGTCTTAATTCAGCGCAAGGTCGCGTTCGGGACATCAAAGTGAGCACTGTGGATAAGTCTATGCGTCTGGTGATCAACAAAGACCATGCAGGGATGGTGCTGATGAACATGAGGCAAACATGTTTGGTTCATCGGGTGGTGGAGGCGGTGGAACTCTCCATCAGCATGTCGAACATTTCGGGCATGCCAAAGTAGAGCATCGTGTACGCACTATCTGTAAGACAATAGCGAATAGTTATTTAGATGCACTTCCGCATTATTCTGCTTGGAGGGATTGGGCGCGTTTATATAAGGCAACCAATCATAACTATGTACCTGTGAATTCATTGATTATGTGTCCTATCTCGTGCCTCGGCGTTAGTTTGTCTTCCTTTCTTTACATGATGGTGATGTGTCTTTTCCTATATCGTCTTTATCTATATTATGGCTACCGTGTCAATTTAGATTTATAGGGGCTTGTGTCCTCACATGCTGAGGAAGAGTTCACACGTTTTTTAAAGAGGGAATAAGGATAGTTGAGTAACACTGTTCAACTCCTTTTTTTTCTGTTTAAAAGATCATTGTCAACAATAATATAGCTGATAGACTTCAGTCCTGAAGTAATGGCCGAACTAAAGCACCTGTACACGGCGTGGGATGTGGATCGGCACATCGTCTTGGACTCAGCCGATAAGCTAGTGCTCATTCGTTTTAGTAGCTATGAAAATCCACCAGACGAGGCTCTCAATGCGTCTATGGCTGTTTTGTCGAGCCGGATCAAGGGTGAAAAGACAGACCGGAAAGATGCTGATGATCAATTCAAGCGTCAGAAGCACCGAATTGATGGAAGTGGTGATAACACTCAGGGTATGGCAGGCCTGGAAAACACGATGATAAAGACACCCCAAGCATCCAGTGGTGTGGCTGGCATGGAGCACTATCTTTTTACTCATCAAATTGACGCATTGCTTGTCGAAATAAGCCCTAAAGTTCGAAAGTATTGCACCATCTACGCTGTCGATACGAATCAAGTCCCAGAGTTCAACCAGATGTATGAGCTCGGGCATGATCGGGATCCATTTGCGGTGATGTTTTTCTTTAGAAATACGCATATTCGCGTGGACGTAGGCACTGGCAATCACAATAAAATTAACTTTTTTGCCTTCGAAGATGCAGACGAGTTTATTTCAATCATTGATGCCGCATATCGAGCTGGAAAGTTGGGAAAGAATATGACAAGCTCTGATAAAAAGTACTCGACCGTCTCGCTGCGGCATTGAAAAAAAAGGAGTAAGAGTTTTCAAATTAAAACAATTGTCTATTGCCTGATTGCTCCATTCACGGTTTCTCACATGTTTTTTCCCGAGGGGGGGTAGGGAGTCATTTATTCCTTTTGCAAGTACATATTTCCTTTGCTTCTTTCCCTTATTCAACTGATGACTCTATCATCCTTATAATTGTTTAACAAATGGGAATGAGTAATCAAACTAGTTCAGGCCTTTACTAAAAGACACATTCACTACTTATATTATCATCTAGTATTACACTTGCACATCGAATAATACCAACAGCCATAACAAATTTTATTGCTGTTCAAAGAAGCAAGCAGGTGGAACAGTAAAAAGGTTAAAACCTACAGATAAGCAGTACATTGCTATGCTAGGGTTTTCCCAGCGCTACTCACGCGTGTCTTTCTCATTTCTGACACATGTGGTGTTGGCCCTGTGCTTGCTAAGTGCTTTGCTTATTCATCAGGTCAATGCCCAGGAAGAACGGAGTAACAATGGATCTCAGGCCGCGATGAATGAAAACGAGGTTGACGCCAAGGAAAAGGCTACAGAGCGCCAAGCGGCGCCCAAAACCACCGATAAGCCTTCATTAGTCGTAAAGACACCCACTCAGAAACTCCTTACGCAAAATCTGCCCGGTACCACCAAAGGCGCGCGCGCCGGCCGCTGGCGCGCGCCTTTGCTAAAAGGGGGATGCGCCCAGGCTGTATCGGACTATCTTAAGCGAATCCATGAGGATCGAAAAAGTTTCACAAACGCCGTATCGCAAGCACGCAAGGAGCTTAATGCGGCTCGCCTGCATAAGCCTCAGAACGTTCTCAGTGCCGAGCAGCGCCTAAACGCGACGAAAAAGGCTCTCAGCGCGTTCGATACGGAGACATTGCAGCTATTTGGCGAGAGCTTGCCGAAGACTTGTATCAGCGAAGTCCAGGATCGAATGGGGACTGCGGGTGAAAACGCTAACCTAAATAGCATTTACAATGTGACTATTTTCATATATCAGACAGTCGTTGCACACTCACAGGCGTTTTACCTAACCATAAAAGGTGTGTGGAACTACACAATTGAGTCGTATATTCCTATCGTAAAGGATTTCCAGGGCTTCTCGGATGTGTACTACAAAAAGGCAGTCAAGTTATATAACGAAGCACATCCCAAACCGGGTTTATTCAGCAAAATCGCCGGTAAGCAGAAGGATGTGCCCACATCCGAGTTTATCATGAAGATAATGGAAGGTCTTGCTTATGCCTGTGTTCCTCTGATGCTGGTGTTGTTCATCGCTTTGATGATTGCCTTTTTATTCCCAGTGATTCTGTTCGGGGTTCTTATGCCGGACTTCATCTATCATGTCTGGATTCGTCTCTTTATCTTCTACTACCCGTACGCCATGGTGTTCCCGGCGGACTTCATCATCGAGCTAAAAGGTCTGTATGTACTCGTGCTGGGAAAAAATTGGCTAGAGTGTTGGATGGTACTGAGAAAAGGAATAATGGGGATCGTAACGGACTTCCACGAACTTTTTTATAACACAGTTCTCATGGGACAAATGGTTTGGTTAATATCCTTTATCTTAATGGTCTTAATGTGGAAGTGGTTGTGCTTTTTTGTTATCCGCAAAAAGCGAACGAAAAAGAATCTAGTAAAAGTTGAAAGTACCCGCCGCGATGAAAACAAGTCGAAACCAAGGGGGAAATCCAAGAAACAGTAAGACACTGAAAATATAGCGAAGTTGATTATTATATTAGATATTTTCATTAAGATTTTGCTAATTTTAGAGCTAAAGCATAATTTTTGCTTTGAAAAGAGGGAAAAAGTGTCAGCAAAAAAAACCTCTAATAATAGTAGTTTGATCAGAGACGGAAACCTTTTTTTTCAGCTTGGTGATATGAATAGGTGGCAACTTTGCTCGTAACAAATGAAGATGAATTCAATTGCGTGGAAATATAAGCAAGAGTGAACAAATGATAATATGCATAAATAAATATACGAAAATGAAACTATTCAGATCAACATCCCCTTTCACTATCGCTACAATGAGTGAAGGGAAACAACAGCTAGGAAGTCACAATTTTATCCCCCCCCCCACTCCCTCGCGAAAGGATGCGACAAATGTGATGCGCTCAGAGAATACGAAAGCATCGCGCTGCTCAATGGAGGATTTGAAATCATGAATAGCAATGTTAAAAAAAAATAAAAGAAAATAGTTTTGATATTTTTACTCCTAGTTTGCAGCTTCTAGCTTGTTGAGTTACATTCACATTTAGTATTAGAATTATTAGGTAGGACAAGATGTTACAACCAACACCGAACACCAGACGTATTGTTCGTCGGATAACAGATTCAGCGTCGTCTATGGAAAGGCTCAACGACGAGATTCCTAGTAAACGCACCACAACCAGAAAGCACGAATTACAGCAACCCGACCCTCCTAAACTCCTGTCACCTCCTATAGAGATGAATCGGCGTGATAGCGCTACACCAGATAGCCTGTCATCATCTTCCTCCTTCGCCTCTGCACCTGCCAGCGCTGCACCAGATGAAAACGACAGCGTAAAGTCTGAAACGCAACCTCTTCCCACCCTCACCCTAGATCGTGCTGTCTTTAGCTCTGTTAGTTTCTTCCCGTCGACGTTTGTCAACAACATCGCCAACGTCGTCTTGTTCAAGATACTTCAGAAATACCAACGCAACGCCAAGCTTCGGCTTGACCTTGACGAGCATGTCAACCAGGCCGTCTGGTCCCTCCCCCCACCGAGGCTGCGTGCGAGCGACGGGTCTGACCTTTTCAGCAGCCCGCACATCTCCCCCGGTTTCCGGCAAAAGTACAGCAGCGAGTCCGAAAACGTGGACTACCGGGAGACGGCCAAGCAGCTGTCCGCCGTCCTCGGCTACGCCGCCGAGGCGGTGGAGAAGCTCCTGGAAGAGGAAAAGGACCAGCTGCGGCGGCAGGAGGCCCGGTGCAAATGGGTGAAAATCCAGGAGATGCAGAAGCTGGGGGCCGTCCGGATGGGCCTTGAGTCCACCACGGCCCGCCTGCACGCCTACGGCAACCGTGTCGCGAACGCGCAGGCCGCCGCGGAAGGGATTGAGGAGCACCTCTCCCAATCCAACGCGCGGGTGCAGCGGGGGAAGGCGGTGGTGCAGCTCCTGCGACACTTCAAGAGTCTCACCAGCCTCGACGCGGAGAAGCTCGCGGGGCTGCTGAAGGCGCTGTCGAAGGTGCGTTCAACGCAAAGGGTGGCGGTCACCGAGCGGTGGGCATCCGGGGACGTGTCGCCGTCCAACCCGCGCTACTTCGCGGCGCCGAGCAGAACCGTTGGGAACGGCACCACAAGTGTCCCGCCGCGGTCCGTTCGCGCCAATGGGTTGCCCAAACCCAAGGACGCGATGAGTAGTGACCTGGGCAAGGGCAACGGCGAGGCTGACAACCTCAAACGCCACGGCGAAGAGAACGAGGAAGATGCGGGCCTGCTTGGGGAGGAGCTGGCGGACGTGAAATTAGATCGTGTGGAGGCTGCCGCGGTGGCCTCGGGGTTGGACCGTGTGTTTGCCTCCCGTAGCTATACCGAGGCGCAGGTTGAGTGGTGTCAAAAACTTCTCTTCTTATCCTTAGAGATCGGAAATCTGGTAGGCAATGCTAAAAATATCGAGATCTATGTGTCTTGGCTTCGTGAAGAGCTAGTCGCAGATCTCTTTCACGTGGTCGGATGCTTCAAGAGCTTCTATAATCGTGGTCCACAGGAAGCGAGGCATCAGCCCTATAGTTCTGCGCTGCTTAAGACGATGGAACTTGTATCGCGTCTACATTCTACTATCACCCCATCGAATGATGCCCTGCAGAAGATTTTCTTCTCGAAGTCTATTAATGATCTCGGCCTAGCACTGTTTAGTGAATACAACCCGACGCCACTTCCCAACCCGACCGTACGATCGTCAGGTCCTGCACCAATCAGCGCGATGGCTCACTTCGCGGAGCACATGGAGAAGGGCCTGGAAAAGGCGTTCGTGTTTCTGGCGGAACAGGTACAACGGGACGTTATTGTGGTGGAAACCATTTTTGGTACCGTCCGAACTGTGCGTCAGCAGCTTCTTGCGGAGGTGACCGAAGGGGTCGTGAAGCCCTTTGTGGAGCAGCAGATTAAGCTAGCGGAAACGTTTCAAATCGCGGTACTTGACAGCGACGCGAGCTTGTCACCGCGCAGTAGGAGGAAATTTTCCAACGTCGTTGCGGATGCAATCGCATACTACCACACCGTAGAGGTTTCTCTTTTCCTCCTGTTCCAGAAATACATTTGTGAGTTGAAGAAGAGCTTCACGGAGACCGAAGTGGAGTTCTTGAATCGCTCAGGCAAGACGATCTTTGCCAAACGCGCCACTTACGGTAGCTCTCGGGCCGAACTGGATCTCCTGGAGCGCTACCATAAGCTCATCGAGGAGAAGTACACGAGGCAACTGCATATTGTACCGGACCAGTGCTTTGACGTGCGTGAAGCGCATATGACGAAAACAAAGGAGCTGATAGATCGCCTCACGGAGGTTGCGACGCGTGTCAGGACCTACGCGCTCCCCCAAGACGTCGCGTCCTACATTCTTGCCCTGATTAAGGCCTCATTTACCAGAATTGGTGCGTACCTTGACGAGGAGCTAAGCAAAACACTCGACGCCATTCGGGCCGACCGGGAGACCTGGCGCCAGAAACCGAAGAGTGAGGAGGAGCTTCTCAAGCCGCAAAGGACAGAATCTCAGCAGTGTGGCTTCCGCATGCTACTCTTCGCACAGTCCTCGCTGATGCAACTATGGGGTGCGACTACGGCGATCATCGCCCCACTCCTCGAGACCCACCCACGTCTCTCCCAGGACGTCGATGAGGTGTGGAGCACCGCTCTCGAGGTGCTCGATGAACGTGCCGAAAAGCTTTTGAACATGTGTGCACAAGCCATTATCGTTCGTGCACTCTCTATTCTCATACACTATCAAACCCGAAACGATTACTGCCCGCATGATTCAGGAAAGAACGACACCTCAGAGACCGAGGTGGCGCCGTGCTCTCGGGCTTGTACGCTTTTTTGCTACTATATCACGCGTCAGTTCGAAGTGTCGAAGGAATTCATTCGCAAATCAAATGATCAGATCGCACGGCGGCAGCCAGGCATGGGCGGGATGCCGGGCGTAGAGGGTCCTCAACCTAGTGACGAACTTCTTTCCTTCATAGCTACTCTGGACATGGCCTCATCGTCACATAATGGTACCAATGCTTTTCGAGCGCGGATACAAACAATGAATCTTCAGCAGCTCATCTACGGAAATGGGGAACCTTCCTCTTTTGTACGCACCGTTGGGGTCTGCTTGTATCGAGGTATTTCAGCTCATGTGAGGTCTTTCGTTGTGAATGACCGTGGGGCGTTGGTGTACAAGCAAGATATGACAGCCTATAAGGAGGCAATGGCACCATTAGGCACCACTCCTGGCCCGAGTGGTGCCCTCGTCGACACCCTCTTTCAGATTCTCAAAGAAACAAGCAATTTGCTGCTCATGCCGCTCGATTGTATTAAGGAGGTAAAGCACTCCGGCATGCTGAGGCTCATGAATGACGCGGATAAGGTGAGGTTCATAAAGATGCGAAAGGATGTGCGTGCAGCCTACAAGTCAATGAGCAAATGAGGACGGTAAAAGCGAAAAGTAGGTGAAAATACATATGTACATGTATATATAATGGGTGTGCTTATTTTTGGAAAATAAAAAGGAAACGATTATTCTATCCAGGAGGGGGGTGAAATACCCCTGCCTATTAATTCGTGTTGCATTGTTTAGCCTTCCTCTCCCCCCCCCTCCCCCCCCCATACATGCATACATGCAGTCCCATCATGTGCATGCATATATACATATGTAGGTTGCCTGTGGAAAAGTCAAGCGACTACTTTGTATCTCGGACAATAAATTGAGAAAAATGTAGTGCTACACTATCTGGGTAAAAGAATGCGCAAACACATACTTTGTGCTGTTCTTTGATTTAATGGAAAGTTTAATTATCATCTCCTTCCCCTCTTTGGATAGTTGCCTACTTTTGAGATACTTGTTTCTGTATCTAGCCTGTGGGCACATTTCCTTTTTTGAGAGATACGTGTACTCCGTCCAGTGGTCTTTTTGAAAGAAACAACACCTAGTGTAGGAAGAAGAAAGCTACAAAAATCCTAATAAAATAAAATACTTTTTGAGCACGACGAGGAAGGGGGATGCTCGTAGGCCATGCCAAACCGGGTGGCAGCAGCAGCGGTGTCTCGAAGGAGACCCGCGAACTCATGGCTCGGCGTCGCGCTGAGCTAGAAGCCGCCGTCCGAGATGAGGAGCGCGTACACGTTCAGGGCCGCTACGTGACGGATAAGAATGCCCTGCGCAACAATGAAACACGGCGTCGAGAACGCCTGAATCGCCAGGCCTCAAAGAAACTTGCTCATGCCAGCCTCTATCAGCGGTGGGAGTCAGAAGACACAGGTGTAGAGTTGGAGGAACGCGAAGTAGCGGACCGCATCACACAGGAGGATATTGTGCAAGCCGTGGACCTCCAGACCCAGAACAAAAGGTATGAGCTCCAGCTCGACAAGCTAGGACCTTATAAAATCAACTTCACAGCGAACGGCACACACTTACTACTCGCTGGGCTACGTGGTCACCTCGCGAACATTCGCTGGAAGTCGTTTCAGCTTGAAGGAGAGACCCAACTTAAAGATAAGCTCAACGATGCGATTTTCCTAGTAGACCACACGATGACCGCTGTAGCACAAAAAAAGTACGTCTACATGTATACCAAAGAGGGAACCGAGATGCATATTCTCTCAAAGTTTGCACACATGGACCGGCTATGTTATTTGTCTAAGCACATGCTACTCGCGGCGACCTCGTCTGTCTACAGCGTGATGCAATACCTTGACATCAGTACCGGGGTTGAGTTGGGCTCCAAGGCCCCGGCTGTTATGCGGGATCCAGCCTCCTGTCTGGGGGTGAACCCTAGCAATGGCGTAGTGGCGTCCTGTGATCTGCGTGGCGTACTGAAGTTTTGGTCCCCGACCGTCGTCGACCCACTTGTGCAACTTAAAGCCCACAAAGGTGTCATCGAGGACATCTGCTTCCATCCCAACGGACGGTTCTTCTTGACGCTTGGGGGCGACCACAAGCTCAAAGTGTGGGACTGCCGGACCCTCCGCGCGCTGGAGGAGTACGCCATCACCTACGACTTCCACACGATGGACATCTCCGCCAAGGGGCACGTTGCATTGGGTGGGGGCACCAATATTCAAATCTGGCGGGACATGTTCACACCGAAAAAGCCCAACGCCCCATATATGAAGTTCGGCCTTGGGTACGGTAAGATTGCTCATCAGGTGAAATTCTGCCCGTTCGAAGATGTCCTGGGTGTGGGACACTCCAAGGGATTCACCTCGCTGTTGATCCCAGGTTCTGGCGAACCGAATCCAGACTTTTTCTATGCTAACCCGCACGAGACCGACCGTCACCGCAAGGAGCGCGTGGTCACGAATTTGTTAGACAAGCTCCCGCCGGACACCATATCGATGGATGTGCAGATTGCTGGTGTCGATGAGGCACGCCTCGCTGAGTACACGGAAAACGTCCGCCTCAACCGCAAGGCGAGGGCGATTCGCGAGAAGAAGCAGCGTCGGGCCGACCGACAGGTAGCCGACGCCGCGCCGACGGGGCTGCAGGTCGGTCACGACGAGGAGGTCGATGAGGATCTCGGCTACAAGGAGAGACCCGCGACGCGGGATCTCAAGACGAAGCAAGAGAAGGCGAAGGAGCGGAAGATGCAGCGGTGGGACAAGAAGGATAGCACGGATAAGGTGCGCAGCAAGCAGACCATGCGGCAGTCTCGCCTTGTGCAGCAAAAACGTATGCAACGCATGCGTGAGGGGCGGTACGGCAAGTATGATAAGGATGATCTGAATGATGAGGAGGTGGCGGCTCTAGAGGAAGAGGCCAATAAGCGGAAGCAACAAGAGAAGCGGCGGCGGAAGGAAGCCGAACACGCTGCTGACGATATACGAGAACTCATGCGGATGCAGAGCGGAAAATCACAAAGGCAGGTCCGGCGCACGCGAACAGAAGCAGGGCTAGAGAAAAGGGGTGGTAGAGAGCAAAGTGATAATATGGAGAGTGATGCCACTTTCTCTAATGCAGCGCTTAAGCGCCTTTTGTAGCGATCGATCCCTAAAGTCAGCAGTCATGGGGATGGTGTTAAGAAAGGTACTGGAAGAGCAGGGTAAGGCAGTCACAAATGTGAATTCAAGAAAAGGTCGTAATCCTTTCCTTTTTATGGATTGTCTATGCGTGAACGTGTTTTAGCTCTTTCTGGTCTGAAATGCAGAAATTTGTCACCTTGAGAACCAGATAATTTTTAAAACGAAATAATAATTTTAAATGCGTTTAATATACAGTCTTCTAACGACTGAAAGGGTGCTCAGTAGCTTTCGGCTTGCACTACTAATAAATGGCATATTTCAAGCTCTATGAGCCTGCTTTATATATAAATACATATATTATCTGAGGATAAACTCACTCGGTTTTATCTTTGATTGTATCACTGGGGGAAAAATTGCTACCTCTTCAATTAAACCCCCAAATTAGGTTAGGATCAAATGATATTGATCAATTTAAGGTCCCCTATTATTTGCGTCCACCTTCGCGTTCTTTTTTAGTGGTGAGCCCTTCATGGAATAGAAGACGAAATTCATAGCCGCCGATAGTCAAGTCATGCTAGTCCCGAGCTCTTGTCCACCACACTTTTGAGTTTTTTCAGTGATGTACAACGGATTGAAGAAGATACAGTTAATGGACCAGTTTTCTGCCGCTATTGCGTCGGCTCCTTTCAGTAAAGTAGTTGAAAATATAGTAGGAGCCAGTTGAAGGCGGCCATTCCATAGCAATGTGGGACTCATCAACATCATATAGACTTAAACTTTGACAATCATAATGCATATCTTCTGTGGGATTGCAATGCGGACTACATTTGGTTATGCATATCCCCTCGATATTGTAGCCAAAGTCATCCAATGCATTGGTGGTATGTAGCACATACAACGTGATCTCGAAAGCCCACCTGTATAAGTACACGACCCACATCCAAAGCTTTACGCAGGACTCAGGACGGAAACAACAGCTCCCCTGTGGCTTCGGCATACGTATCCATTTCGATTGTAATTCTTCTAATGGACTCTTTCTCTGATGTCTTTGATTCGCTGCATGGCGAGGACTTTCTCTAGCTCCTTTACACACCAAAAGCTGTCTCTGTATTCCAACAGCCTTGCTGAGCTGAGGAGGTCTGTGGCCTTCGCGGAGGAGGCGTTTCGAAAAGCATCCATAGAAAGATTCTGTTCTCGTGAAATGTTTAGTAGAAAAAGCCGGTATCGCGACCTAATTTGTACGACTGCTCGACGGCGTGATATAGGAAACGACAACCTTGTGTGCTGACGCCGTGGCGCTATTATTGATGGTAGTGGCTGCTATGTGATCACACCTACGCGGGCACCCTCGGCTTGAGATAAGAAAAAAAAATTGGGTGTGTACCTGCACACTGGCGACGCATCGCACTCATATAGTGTGAAGACTTTTTCTTGCTCTTTAAGCACAGCAAAAAATACAAATGGTTCAGAAAGGGTAAAATCAACCCTATCCGCCCATGTGTTCAGGTGTGAATTTTACTGTCCTGGATTAACTTTGCTTCATTCTCGTTCTACCTTTCCGCTCATCTGAACTGTGGCATTCCTCTTTCTTCCTATACTACTTATATCGTCTGTTCTTCTCTATGCGGGAGAGGCGGTGACTCACCACAGCGTGTGTGTGTGTGTGTGCTTGTATATGTATATTCTTTACAAAGTTTCTACTGCAAAAACACATAAGGAGACAAAAATAGCGACATTTCAAAAGAAGAAAAAAGGTATTCAAACTGAAATTTAGAGGAAAAGAAAAGAAAAATACTAGAGGAGTCTCGATATCATGACCCAACGCCAAGACGAAGCGAATGGCATCGATGTGTATGACAAACGGCACCTCCAGGCTAAAGCTTTGGAGCGATGGGAACTCCAAAAGCAGATTTGGGAAAAAACACGCATCGGGCTTCTCACGCAGACTGCCCGTGGAAAGCGGAAGCAGGGAAACGCGCGGGTTTTCATATCTTCCAACAGCTACGCGCGTGCGAAGCAAGAAGATTTCAACATGATTGAGGCTTCTGTCCCGCGCATGGCCATGTCAAATCAATTTGGGTGGGAAAGTCTTCTGCGTTGCACGGATATTACGCAAGCTTCACGTTATGTTCGGATTGGCAAAGGCTACTACCCTTATCCTCTATATGTTGAGATCCGAGACCCCACGGCGGTGAAAAAAAACGACTTTGCCGACTCACGCATCGCGTTTGAGGAATCCAAGGCCACTTTAGGGCATTCACTTAGCGGATATTCCGCCGTCCGGGAGCTGATGAGGCACAAATTAGAAGGTAAGAAGTTAAGAAATATGCAGGGAAGTCAGGGTAACACTGACGGTACCCTAGACGAGGAGGTGGAGCAATTCCTGGAAACTGGTGGTTCCTCGCGTGAAATGGATCCCATTCTCTTCATTGGATCGAACCGGACAGCGGCTAAGAGTTATCACAAGTTATTGCAAACTCACAAGCGCTGCATTCAAAAGCGTTTTGGACACTTCTTCCAGCCGAGGTGCTTTATGAAGGTTGAGGGAACCCCTGCACCACGCGTGACGGTAGATGCAGCGGAGTTTGGGTCCATGAACGGCATTGAAACAAATGAAAACCCTGTGCAATACTTTCCCCCGCCGCAGCGGCTCCGTCTGCCGACCCCCAATCCCAACTCGCAAGTCCCCAAGTTCGCTTCCAGTGGTTTGGTGGGACAAAACGACAACAGCGCTAAATCACTGGGAACGGCCACCACTCCCTCAACCTCGATCTCTGGAAAGCTTCTGGGGCGCAAGCCAGAAGATGAGCTTTCGGCCTCCTCGCCAAAAATAACGTGTGAGACTCTTACAGGAAAGGCGGGATCGAGTGGTCTCAACGTCACACTGGAGATCTCGACAAAGCGGGTCTTGATCCTGGCGCGTCCTGGCGAACTCGCGCATGGCCAGGTCACGATCACGAACCACGGCACCGTGACGTTCTTTTACAGCTGGGCGGTCGCGGATCTGCTGATGGAGAACATTACCATGGCAGCTGAACGAATTTCCGCCCAGGGAGATTCGAGGCAGCTGTCGGATGTCAAAGACAAGGACGGAGCAGAGGAGAAAAGTCCCGATAACTGTTCGGCTGAGAGTGTGGAGGAGCTGAACAATTGGCGTGTGTTGCACACCCTTGCGAAACCCGCAGCGGGAGCACAGCCAAGCTTCTTTCTGTCGAGCTCACCTGACGGTGTCATTCTTCCCGATGAATCAGCTATATTCGCTTTCTCCGTGCGCATCCCTCAGCCTGGACGCTTCCAGCGGACTTATGAGCTCCTTACCGTTCCATCCTGCGACGCGAACCGAATTCTGGTGCAGATAACTGCATTGGTGGAAAGCGGGGTGGAGATGCGTGCAAAATACTTGGCTCGCCCAGTAGCAGAAGCACTGGAGGCCAAGGTCACCATCGATAGCCAGCGCCACATGGTCCAGCAAATTGTGCGCAACTGTGAACCCTACACGGCAGCGGATCTCGAAAGCTCCATCTACGCCCTGCGCTGTGCGGAGGATAACAATGCATCTGATGAGAAGGCCCACTTACAGCGACAGCGTGAAAGCTGGGAACAGCACAATGGACTCACTTTTGACGGGATCCCTTACAACAAGGCGGTGTTCGATATGCTGGGACGTGTTTGGGAGAATCTCCAGCGCACGCTCGCGGAGCTGACTCGCGCCAGCCCTGAGTCCGTGAGTAACGATAACAGGGATGAGAAGGCAGCGGGAGAAGGCGTAGGCGCCTCGAGATTTCCAATGGGACCGCCCCCAACCTCGCCCGAGGCGCAGAACCAATCCTCCGATGGCGAGATTGTGGCGTTATGGGAAAGCACAGGCGGCTCACTGGTAGTACTGCTGCACGAGATCGCGCGCGTCCGCGATGCGCCCTCACGGAACATCTTCTACGACTGCACAATGACGCTTCTTCGTGCGGCACGTGTCTCGCAGAATGAGCAGGACCCCCTGCATGAGCTGCTCCATCGCGCCGCTGAGGTGTTGGTGGAGCAAATCGAGCTTGGACGTCTCCATTGGTATATAAGGGAAGAGCTTTACCAGCTACAGCGGCCGACGGTAGGGGCTACGACGACCACCAAAACGGGAAGTAGCGGTGGGAATCATCCAAGCTCAGCCCCCCGTTCTGGAAGGAAGGCGGCTAACTTGGCGACAGCTTTCAATCCTGACATGTCAGGCAGTCGTGGGAGGCAACCCTCCGCTGGTCTTGTACCTATTCCAGCCGCGCTATATGAGCATCTCCTCCCCCCTGAAGATGGCGAGGATAGCTCAGATCTGCGTGAGATCCTATTGAGCGCTGAAAGAGTAGTGCTAATCGATGCTTTTAAGAGACGCCTAAAGGCTGAACGGCCTGCCCGCGTTAAGGTGCTCGAGCAGCAGTTCTTGAAGGCCATTGAATGTGGAGCGAGATTACCGCTCCTGGATGTCGTCCAGAAGCACCGTGCGGACGACGTTGTTGCCATTCAGCAGAGCGAGCTGATCGCAGTCGACACAAGCACAGAGGCTCCTACTGTAAAACCTGTCTCAAGTAGCGTAAAAGGAAAGTTTAGGCAATAACGCATGGGGTAGTGCCAAGAGGTCGATTAGCCCTAGGAGAGTGGGGTGTGGAGAAAGGAAAATGTGCGGGGTGAAGAGGTCTTTTTTATCCCTCTTTAGATGTACAGAGTTACGTAGATAAATAGCAACGACTATTGTTGTGTATGATAGGCATACATACCCAAGTTCACACAGTGTTTCAAATAATAAATGTAGATTTGACAATGAAATAAAAAGTGTCTTGCCTGACGACAGATTTTTCATGGGTGGAGGGGGCCTAAAACAGATCATACCACTGAGCAAAGCGCTCTTGAATGGGTTGGTGCAGCAGTAGTTTTCTTTAAATGCGCGATCTGGATCCGAAGGACCCTAGGTGCTAAAATACAGATCCATTTAATGTGTCTTGATAAAGGAGATGAAGTAATTCTTTTGCGAGAAGATCTGTATTCCTACTTTCGTTTGATCCAATATCTTATCACTACACTAGAAACCTATAGATTCCTTCTATTTCTTAGTTTTTGTCATTGACAACGACACTACTGATCAGGTTCCAGAATTTTTTTTTTGCACATTGTCTAACGTAACGAACTATACATACGAATTGGATTTGAAAAAAAATAATAGGAAAAAGCGAAATAGCAATAATAGGCAAGCACTATCTAATTAAGCAAAGGTCATGCATTCTGGAAGTCAGAGCACAAGCACGGAGCCAAAGCTCATTCAGAGACCCAGACGCAAACCACGTCCGGAATGGGTCAAGGGTAATGCAAGCCCTCGGAAATTCGGGCAAAATGCCGCACACAAGGTTGAGAAAAGTCACAAAGACCCCAACCACCTCACCTCTAAGTCGTATCAGCAGACAACAGATCGGAACCTCACCGCCGAGGATGCGGTCGAGGGCACGGAGGCCTTTCAGACGCGCATTGCTGAGATCACCTGCTTCCGCGTCGTCTCGCGCGTTCGGCCGTTCATAGCGGAGGAGCTGGCGGAGATGCAGGGTCAGGAGAGGCGCTCCATCGTGGAGATGATCGACGACAAGACGGTGCTGCTCGACCCCAAAGATAACTGGGCCCCAAAGGCACAGTTCGAGTTTGATGCCTCCCTCTGGTCGATCCCGCCCTCGCACAACCTGGTCTATACGTTTCACGATACCCGTCGTAAGAGTTACGCGACTCAGAAAGATGTCTACCAATACATCGCAAAGGATCTCGTCCCACACATCTTCAATGGCTTCAACAGCTGCATCCTGAGCTACGGACAGACAGGTAGCGGGAAGACGTACACGATGATGGGGATCTACGACCCCAATGAGTCCTGTGGTGGTGATGGTGAGGAGGGGATTATCCCGCGCGTTTCGAACGACCTTTTTATTCTATTGAACGAGCGGCAAAAGTTGGAGATGGAGAAACCGCCACCCAATCGCTGTCGGTATCGCGTTGAGGTCACCTTCATAGAGATATACATGGAGCGCGTGCGGGATTTGCTCGATCCCTCACTGCGGAACTCGAAAGGAAATGAGAAGCTACAGGATGCGCGGATCCGCCAGGATCCGCTCAGTGGCCCCTTCGTGGAGAATGTTACGAAGTACCAGGTAGAGAACTGGGCCCAGTGCTGCACCCTTCTCGAGCGCGGATCGCAGCATCGCACGACGTGCGCGACCGCAGTACACAACCAATCGAGCCGCAGCCATGCGATCTTCCAACTCACCCTGGTGCAGGAGCAAATCAAGCCGCCCAAGGACCGCTACTCAAAGCCGACGACGGTGACGAGGGCCGGCCGCATCAACCTCGTCGACCTCGCCGGCTCCGAGCGCGGTGGCTTCCAGGACTACGTGAAGGAGTCGGCCGCGATTAACACCTCCCTCCTGGCCCTGCGCCGTGTGATCGACAACCTCACGGAGCGGCAGAACATCCTGATTGAGCAGGCCAAGGCGGAGATCACCGGGGGGTACTTCCAGGAGCGCGTCCTGCCGCAGGTGCCCTTCCGTGACAGCGTCCTCACGTGGCTGCTCAGTGACAGCATCGGTGGCAACGCGCGGACGACGATGGTGGCCACGGTCAGCCCCTTAGTGAAGAACTACGGGGACACCCTCGCGACGCTGCAGTGGAGCAGCAAGGCGCGCAACCTCGTGACACTCGTGAAGATGAACGCCCAGTCGATGGTCCAGAGCGGCCTCGCCAACCACGCCGGGGAGCTCGGCAACGCCGTCCAGATGCAGCGCAACAACCTAGACTCTCTCCGGCAAACCCTCCGTGAAAAACAAGAAAAGGCGGAGCGAATAGAGCATGAAACGAATGGAGTTAAAAAGGTGATGGCGAAAAACAGCCAACTATTCGAAAAGTTGAATAAGGATCGTGCAACCTTTGTAGTTGCTCGTGCGATCTGTCGCTTGGTGTTTGCACAAAGGTTAATATCCCAAAAGAGGTACTATGGAAAGTTACATGCCCTACAGAACGACGAAAGCGTCGCGAAGTTCAAGAAGCTTCGAAATGAAGCTACCGCAAAGGAGGAGGATGCTAAACGGCGCCTCAAGAATCTGGAAAAGAAAGTAAGCAGCCTTCTGGCCAAGATTACAGACCTTGAGCGTGAAAGACCAGATGTGCTGCACCAGATCTCTGAACTTACACCTATCTACGATGAAAACTGTAGAAGAATAAATGGAGATGCTATTCTACAGAAGGACAAAGAGGAAATGCAGTCTGCAGTAAAGAATGCGAAGATGCGGCTCGAAGAGGCCAAGCAATTCGTCGCTGATCAGTCGAAGCGAGTAGATAATGCAAAGGCCATGATCAATGAGAGCAAGAAACCAGGATGGCTGGACCAGATCCGGAAGGATGGCGAAGAAATACCCGCCTTGTGGGAGAAATACGATAAGGTCAAGCAAAGGCATAATACCATCGTGAACCTTCTCCAACAAGTTCGTGTGAAGCACAGAAAGGTGTGTGGGTGATATGGCTAATATAACAGAGGGGAGGGGGGCGATCATTATTTGATTTACAAACGTGGGAACATATATTGATATAGACCTTGAGATTTAAACCGAGTGAAGTTGCAAACTTCACTTAAAGGAGTGAGTTCTGCGCCGCTATCCCCACAACCCTCCGATCCTTTATGTTTTTCGCTGTCAACTCTTCGTTGACCGGACGGACCCTCCCTCTGCCTCTCCTGAGGTCTAGTCTAACGCTTAATATGATCAATTAATCGAAAGAATATCCGTCTTTGGCATGTCTTGTGTAATGTGTTTATTTTTGTTTTTCATTCGAGACGCATGATAAAGCCCAATTCATTTCACTCCTCCTTTAAGCGCGCACGCAATGGAAAAGTGATGTCGAAACTTTTGAAGAGAGCTCCCATAGAGAATTTGGCAAATTTCAAGGCGTACTCTTGAAACGAGTATGATAAATAAATCTATTGTTAGAGAGAAATCAAATTAGCTTTTCCCTTGATGTTTTTTGTTTTGACTTGTTTCCATAACAAATGTTATGGGGTTCCCATTGAGCGTGCATAAATATATAATACATAGATTGGGAAGCTCTCTACTAAATTCGTCTCTTAAGCCTTTCTTTTTTCTTCTTTTATTGAATTTCGTTTTGCTTCATTTTTGCTTGGTGACTAAATAGCCTTATCTTACAAATTGGTAAGAAAAATTATGCTAAGGAAACATAGTGTGAAACTATGTGTGGTCCAAGGGCAGAGTCTAGATTCATGTGATAACAATTATCCAGACATACATACATATATATGTATTAGGGGTACGTGTTTTAACTCGTTCATCTTTGTACTACTTCAATAAGTCCTCCGACGATGTTGCGTAGCTTAACCTTTTTTGTTGTTACCTGTATTTTCTTCTCTCCACAGTCCGAAAGTTGAAACCAAATCCTGCCAGTTGTGATATAAACCTAATTGTACCGACTCAGATCGCCTAAGTGGAGAAAGAATATTGGCGGTATAGTGCATTTATCGTATTGTCAACCAATATTAATGGATGTGTGCTTTTGATCTTTTCTTCCTCCACCTAAATAACCCTAGATTGGGAGGGAGGAGAACGATACAAAGCGTGCATTAGATAGAAAAGCCGTTGAAGACTAGCAAAATTTCGGGTATTGTATAGACTTTCTAATTACTATTTTGCTTGCTTCGATCATTTATTCATTGTACATGTTTCAAAAACTATGAAAAAAAAAGGTGACATTTTACTATCCTGTGCCTGGTTGCGGACGGTGTCGCGTTTCCCCCCCCCCCCTTTTTTTTGGAGGGGAGGAAGCTATTCGCTTAAATGAATCCTTCGCATATGTCCTTTTCGTTATCCCGTTGAATCGATAAGTCACAAGGAACAAACACATATACCAAAGCCATACCTATCGCCTCTTCACACCTCGCCGTTCCCTCGCCCGCTCCCATGACGTCCATCGAGGAGCAAAAGAGGCAGCTGTACAACCGCCAGGAGTACGTCGTCGGGGCCGAGGCGCAGGCGAAGTACGGCGCGACGGAGGTCTTGGTGGTCGGCGCCACCGGGCTCGGCGCGGAGATTGTGAAGAACCTGATCCTGACCGGCGTCCGCGCGGTGCACGTCCTCGACGACGCCCCCGTCGAGTGGGCGGACCTCGGCACGAACTTCTTCCTCACGG